TAAAAGGATTGACTTGTACATCGGCTGGTCACCGCAAGTCATTGTGAAGACCACATACGCATTCAATACGCTACTACGATTCTTAATGGAAGACGAATGCGGGGCGCATCCCTCAGGACGCGATGGATTGCTCGGTGCTCGAAGTCCTTATCCTTCTGATTTTCATATCGATTAATGATATCGATTTTGAGGCGAGGCCATAAGGTAATAATAGTTCAAGGTGAAACCACTGGTCGATTACATCTGGAGAATGTGCAAGTTCCTAAAGTTGTAGGATGATGGCCCATAAATGGTTTTTATGCAAAGGAGGGAAAGTCGTCCAATTCGCTGAGTCGTAAATTCAATGGTTGAGTATCGGTGCGAAAGTCACATTTCCTCAGAACACTGCAGTGATACATTCTGCGCTCTCACAGAACAATCATTTATCCGTAGATAAATAATTGATTGATGTAATTGATTTTTGTGATCGAATCGGGAGTAAGGTACCCCCTACGAAGTGGAGATTGTGTAGTGATGCTGTGTAGATCACTCTTTATTTCCCATTATTTTGAAGGACATTGATATTTGTTGTACTTGATTTTTTTTTGTGGATTTTTTGTGTGTACATATAATTCCTCACAGGTATTTAATCCTCTTACATTCATGCTTTCAATCTGATTCAGGAAGAACATTTGTATACGTTCTGTGCAACAAAAAAAATGAAAATAAACGTATGAATTTTTCATCAACCTCTTGGACTACTCCACGCAAACAAACTGAAGGAATAGTTCGCGAGAAATCGGAGGTACCCTTTTTAAGTAGAAAAGCAAATGTATTGGTTGAGGGTAGTGCATCGATAGTGAAGGAAGCGGAAAAATTAGCCGACTAGGCTTCCAAAAGTTGTGAAGTTTACGGTTGTACGAGATTACCATGACGGAAATGGCATGGAAGGGCATTCGGACGAGATTTTAGTTGTTGCAATTACGCAAAGAGCTTACTACAACAAGCCAAATTTGTGCAAAACTGCTTTACAATGTCGCCTTGGGTCATGACAAGTTGTTTGGACCTCCTCATGAGCTCCCTTGTGATTGGTGCCGCCTCTGCAACACCATTAAAGCTCGTCCACTGTGGGTGTGGCATTCAGCCGATACAATATCTGGGCCTTTATGGCACCTTATCTAGGCCGTTTTCCGACCTGACAGCGCCACAGCGGGATATAGGGCTATAGATCTATCCCAGGGTGATATCTAAGAAGCCATTTCTATCGTGAACTGTGCCTTCGAAATGATCTTGAAAACTCACACAAAGGTTCATGGAGGCGTGCACAGGACTAGTCACTTCCGATCAATTCGTTGAAAGGAAAATGAGTGAATGCTTTTATTCAAAACGGACGTAAATGACTATGCTCTTAGTAAGTGGTAATACTCAATTTTTCGGCAAAAAGGAGGCATTTTCTCCCACTCCAACTCCATGATGGAGTTGACTGAAAGTTTCAACTTCCTTCTTTTTTCTGACCACATTTTCCCTTGTGGAGTGTCGTAGATGGGTTATATTACCCCATGAAGGAGTTATCATCTAGTCACGCAAAGTCATTACGAGGGATGAAAACAGGGCTGAGCGGAAGACGCAACAATATTCGTCGTAGGGTATCAGAAATTCCAATGAAAAATGCGTAATTCCGTTTTTTCTACTGTAAGTCGGTTAAAAGCTAAGTTTTTCGGAAGTTGATTATACCGTTGCACTCAAATGGTATGTCCTAGTGGAATGTCCTTTTTCCCGTACATACGAAACTACTGGGCCATACGCTTCTTCAAAGCAATGCTGCTCAATTATACACCCTTCTTATTAGGGTATCATTGAGCAGCATCTTTGAAGAATCTAGTTTCATATGAACAATAGAAGTGATAGTTCAGAATAGTACAATTGGCGAAGAAAACACAAAATTGGCGCATTTGGAGGAATATAAAGCTTCGAAAAAGTAGTAAAACTAGGGGTTGGACGGGGAAATGACAACAATAATTGCATGAGAAAAGGTCTTTGAATGGGCTGTTCGAAAGTGCGCGCCATTGCGTAGAGCTGATTGCGGTAAGCTACCTGCGTGCAAGATGAGGTCCTGGTGCGAATGGCCAATCTCCATCTCTAGCCAATCAGCCCCTTCAACCCGCGTGAACTCATCCGCGTTGGATGTGCATCGGCTAGCCCGGTTTAGAGGCCCTTATTATGCCCTATCTAGGCTGTTTTTCAACCCGACAATGCCCTTATACTATCCTTGGCTGTCAGAGGTTCATTATAGAGAGGAATTCCAGGAACCAATTGTATCGTGAACTGTGCCTTTAATATTGAGCCTGATCGCCTGCCACCATGCATATGTGTGAAGCGGAGAAAGTGCACGATATCATAAAGTCTCTACGAAGGTCAAAGTTTTTCGGCATGACCAATCCCCTGTGCGGAATGCGCCCCGAATTTGACTTCCAATCAGAATCGTCGTGGCGTATTGAACGCGTATGTGGCCTTTACAATTAATTGCGGTGGCCAGTTGATTTATAAGGCAGTGCTTTTATCCTCCCAGACGAGTCTGATACCAATTAACTGACCCTGAAGGGATGGAAGGCTCGTTTGATCTGGGATAGGTGGATAAGGGTCCCCGATTCAAACGCGTGACCATGCGTATATGATAGTGCGCCACTTGCCACTACACCACATTCGCCTTTCCTCATATTATAGATCACATAAGTGTATGAATTTCTGATGTACGTAGCGATTCTAACCACACCTCTTACCAATCGGCAAAAAAACTTTGGTCGCGAGCATTTATTTTTTGTTTAACTAAGCTGTCAATTGCTGTCAGAAAAACTTCCTAACCGCTCACCAGCGTGCAAGTGAAAAGAGATCAGAGAACAATGGGATTTGCATGATATCGTTGGTTGAACGATAAGTAAACCGGTATGATTAATCGCTTTCGTTGGACTAACTAGAAATCGTTCACATCAGTAACTATCGCTTGGAATTCGATCCTTCTAGAGCCATCATCCACCGGTATACATATTACCCTGTGACATCATTTATTATCCTTCAATTAATTGATTGGAACGGTTCAGCGAATCGAAATTAGCAGGTGATTGCGGGCTGGAGGTCATGCGTTGTAGAGGGAGGAGTCGTCGGAAGCGGGTTTTTTCTGGTATTACCTTTTTTCGTAATATGCTGATGAAAATGCCTGTAGGTACTTTAAGACTCGAACAACTTCGTTGGAGAGTTCCTCAAAGGTTTCACGATTCCCACTGGCGTTCCCTTGGACTTCTTTCTCAAAAACTTCAAAATTTTCTTCTTTATTCGCTCTGGAAGCCCTTATTTAATGTCATAGGGTGAAATCAAGGAGTAATCAAAGCTGTCAGCTCAAGATAATGCTTTTTCAACTGCCCCTCTGAAACTTCTTTATCGCTACGAGATCACAAAAACGCATACAAATAAACAGACGCTCACAACTAGTTTCATGAAGGGCCTTTAAAAATGGCTATATGACTGAGTTTTGATACCAATCTTATAGGGCTCATATTAAGCCCTAGCGTTTTGAAAATCTAGGTCCTCCGATTCAAGAACTGAAGTTTGCTTGGGGAAATTTTCGCGATTGCAATTCACCATGTCGACGTTTCCCTTTTATGACATTCCCTTCGAAACCATTTCATGAGAACAGATTAGCATTTCAAACTGTCTTTTAATGTTTAGTTCTTTTCTTTCTGCTTTTTGCTCGCTCTGGAAAGCTTTTTTGACGAGTTCTTGTATGGGATCGGCTTTATCATAGACAAAAACTTTCCATCTTTTTTCTACTTCCTTCCTAAAGCTTAATTTAATCAAATTATCCTCTACAGTCATTCCTTGGACTTGTTTTGGCGCCTGCAGGCGACTTCCTGTGATGAGAATTTTTCAATTTCATTTTCATTTTTAATTCTGATTTTCAAATGGGCGCTTCTGTAGATCTAGCTTGCATTCATGTTTTTCATTATCTCCTTTTTTAGAGTGGAGACTTCTGCCCTCTAAATTAGGCACACCTTTGAACGTATGAAATAAATAAATAAAGCAATACAAAAATAAAATAAGATGATAATAAAGATAGAAGAATAAATTGTGTGGCGTCGATCAGTCCTGTCTCAGGATGTGCCACGTATTCGACATCCATTTAAAATCGTAGTGGTGGGTTTGAATGCGTATGTGGACTGTACAGTAACTTGCTTGGCCAGCTTATGTACGAATCAGTGTTTTTCTTCCTCCCAGATGATTCTGGTAAAATCCTGTGCAATGAAAGGCTTCGTATTGGAACAATTGGTTGATTCAACTGTTAAACTTCTCGACGCAATCGTCTTTTTCAAAGAACATGCTTTCACCATTCAAACGGACGAAATCCGCTGTCAGTATGAATATCGTACATCTCAATTGTATCTATGAGGGTTAACTCGGTTGCTTTTGTTCTGTTGTATTTCTAAGAGATGTTCCTTATTCAACGGTCCCGTTTTTCACTACACAACTACTATGATGGAAAGCTCAGTTGCCATCAAAAGTTTGTGTTCTCGCTAGAATAAAAAGGGATTTAGCTATAAGTTCTCAAAAAGAAGTTCTAGTTTGAAGGGCCTTTGCGGTTGGAGAGGTCAAATACTCGTAGTTGATACTGCAGATTCAGTAACCACAAGCTATTTCTACCTCCACGATTCTTGGAAAAGAGGTTATTCCTGGCCCAATATGTGAAACCAGAATCTTTTCCAGGTAGTCTGTTGCCTATGTTGTACTAATGTTTACTATCTGTCCAAAAACTCTTTTTTGAATACTGCCGGTGAAATGAAGCTGTGTAAAGCATACATCCACAAAGATGGGCTCCTTAGTTAGAGTCAGTCCTATGGCTGCGTCTTGAAGAGTTGTAGAAAATTATTACTCTCCTATCACTATATCCTTCCTCACCCTTCCTTCTCATCATTTCGAAACCTACGAACTCACCCATACATGGCGCTCCACACAACCTGTCCTGTGCAAATTCCCGATGGTGGCACGTGAGATGCGCAACACAGGGCTGGTAAGATCAAAGATCTATCAGATGTGTTGACAACTTGCGCTATCCCGATATTTTTGGGATCTCCCCCATTCATTCACGTGAGATCTAATCCTGTCATTGCACTCGAAAGTTCTGTCATCTCGTTGTTTGTGTTTTTTAGAAATCACACCTGTTGACAGATCAGTAATATGTAGTAATCGTACAGTGACCAATGAACTCTAATCCATAAAGATTTCGGTGGAGAACGATCTGAAAGAGTAATATTTTAAATTTCTTTTCTTTAAAATCGTTATATTCCTGTTACTAGGAGCAGACCTATGGCTGTGGCCCTGATTCTAATCCGAATTGTCTGAGGACGGGATGATTGAGTGAAGTGAAAGTCGTCAAATCTTACATTAATCCAATGTAAGCCCTCGCTTTCGGACTAAAACGCTCTAATAGCAAGTACTGCTGAAAAACTTATGGATCCCGGATTTATGACGGATGTTCTGCTGAAAAAAAGTATTCGAGGTAGGCAAGGATCGTTCCGTTTTGTGCCCTTCATCCTTCGGCCTCATCCTATAAATCCCTTGGCAGCTTATTTCCCCGAGTGCTTTCAAAATGTCCATCTTCATCTTCTTCATTTCCACCTAGGATGTCTCTTTGTACATCATAGACTATCATTTTTGATGTCCGTCATTGCTTCTGTACCACTCAAGTTAGATTGTCGAGGGGTTTCTACTCTTCGTTTTATTACTTTTTTTCGTTCAATGGGGTGTGGTGCAATCAAATCGAAAATGGCCGAGGCAACTGGCCCGCGACTGCCGCGTGCGGCGAATCGATTACACCCAACCGATTCAACTGCCCGTCTCCCTGATTGAGGTGATAGTAGAGAGGCTATGATCAACTTTTCTAATGTTCATACTTGGATTGGCTTTCCAGCTGCCCATCCTTTTCCATTTCAGGTGTATTCCACTGTAAGCAGCATGCAACTGCCAAGTCTCGCCGATTTCTGATTTACTCAAGCACTTTTCTTCCGATTTTTGGTTTCACGAACAGTAGCTCGAGGCAGTCCAATTCATACAAACTCTTTTGAAATGTCGTTTGAATCAAAATATCGTGGAAATGTGTCGTATATCGAATTAATAGATGTGTCGAATCGACAATTTGCCGATAAACTGCCAGCAACTTGACAATTTCTCTGCAAATTGTCGATTGGACACATCTATTCATTCGATATACGAGACATTGAGGTAGCGTCAGCCGAAGATCGAAGATTCTATTGTTATCGTTTCAACTTTTTCGTCGTCAACGGGAAACCCCCCATTACAATGTGCAGAAGGCTGTCAAATTAAATTGAACACAAAGCCCTCATGTGTTTTTCACGCTGATCCATTTAATGATGCAGGGCATCCGGAACCTGAATCCACCTCATTAACATCTCATCAAAAACTATAGAGCCCTTCGTTTAAGTTCCCACCGCAGTTCATGTTCCACCACCTACATAGATGCATTGCGTTGTGTTCACAGTCATCAGCTCTTTGGAACTGTGACTTTCAGAGCCGATCATATCTCTGTTTTAAAATGTTTCTCTTTCAGACATGGTTTTTCTGAAAGTAAGCAACAGTGTTTCTGATGCTACAGCGGTGAGTCTCTATGTACGGAAGTGTTTCTGATGCTACAGCGGTGAGTCTCTATGTACGGATAACTGACTTTCCAAGGAGTATGGGTTTCACCATTGAACATTCAGTTTTCCTGGCTCACGCCACTGTTTATTTGCTTTCAGTTAATTTGAGGTTGTTGTATTCTTATGCCTCAAGCTAAGGTGGGCGTACTTTGCACAAGCACAACGTTCTCATAAAGGAGTATTGAACGAGTTTAGTGAAGGTTTAAAGGCACATTGTGATAACACGATTCCTTCGAGCTTCTCTATCTCATTCAAAAAGCAGAAGTACAGGATCTCTATCTACATCTCTATCTATCTACAAGTACAGGATCCTAATAATTATAGGCCTATCTCCATTACTTCTGTATTCTGTAGACTCTTTGAGAAGCTCGTTAAAAAAGCTTTGGTGA